GCCTTCATCTTCACAATTAGTACATGAATTACAAGCCCACGTGCACAATTCATGCCTGTTCTCTGTCTCCAGAGAGACTAAAGAAAGCAGAGTACAAAGGATAGGTATTGTAAGGACAAGATGCTGCAAGATTGCTATACTAAAATTGTTATGGGTTATATGCAGCCTCACTCAGAAAGTTGATTTTTGATATAATTGAGATTATTCTCAGAGCTTGTATTCCTTAGGAGCATACTAATGGTTGCTAGAAAAGCAGAAGAGTCTACACATGTATATAAATATTATACATACAGATGTAAATAATTCAGGTTTTTGAAATACATCCAGAACATCTTCAGTTGATTCTCTGTCCACAGAGAATGGAATGGCCAGCCAATTACTTTACTATTTTGCCTACAGCAAAATATAACCAGCTTCAACTTGGAAACTTCAATTGAATTCAAAGCATTTAAGAAGGAACTTCAGTTAATAAACTCAGAAGATGTGGTTGCCTTAATTTTCTACTCTTTAGCTAAGAAAAATCATGTAATGTTGAATTAATTTTCTTCCATAAAGACTGTCCTCATACTCCTCAAGCCTTACTTTATTTTTATCATTAGTTAAAGGGAAGAAAAAAAAATAACCAGTTCTCACAGATTTCTTTGTTTTCCCTAAAGAACAGATTCTATTTTATCATCTCATTTTCTGCTAATGAAGTCTCTAGGGTTCCCAACATATACAAATGTGGAAGTGGAAAAGATAAAGAAGAATTCTGATTTTTTTCACGACTGAATATAACCTACCTTTTCCTGTTGATCCCTGTTTGACTAAGGATAACCAATAGCATTCCCAGAAGGGATTTCAAAATAGCTACTTTTAATTCTGAATTTTTTAAATAGGTAAATTCTGTTGATTCAGTCTGTGGCTGAACAGCCCCACTTGCTGGCTTGAGAGAAACTTTTAATGTGAACGAATAACAAAGTACACATTCCCATATATTCTAAGGAGCCCTGAATGCTCTCAGGTCTTGATGGAAACCCCCCTTGCTCCTTCAGGGCATTTCTCTTGTCCCCAGATGATCTTCTGCCAGATACAAGACCAGGCTTACTTTCCCCGCAATATAGGAATAATCATTTTAATCTCAGATCTTATCTGCAATGTGATATTTTACAGCAACAACAGAGCACTATGACATGGAAGGGACTGGGAACTACATTTGGATAAGAAGTGATAAGACTCACATACTGAAAGAAATAGGATGCCATTCAGAGGGACCTCAACAGGCTACAAAGGTGGGCCTGGGTGAACCTAATGAGGTTTAACACAGCAAAGTGCAAGGTTTTGCACTTGGGCTGAAGAAATCCCAGGCATCCATACAGACTGGAAGGAGCAGTTCTTGAGAGCAGCCCTGCAGGGAAGGACCTAGGGGTCCTGAGGATGAAAAGCATGAGCCAGCAGTGTGCCCTTCCAGCTCAGAAAGCAAATGGTATCCTGGGCTCCATCATAAGAAGGGTGGCCTGCAGGGACATGGAGGTGATTGTCCCCCTCTACTCTGCTCTTGTGAGGCCCCATCTGGAGTACTGTGTCCAGGTCTGGAGCCCCCAGTACAAGAAAGACAGGGAGCTGTTGGAGAGGGTCCAGAGGAGGGCCACGAAGATGGTCAGGGGACTGGAGCACCTCCCCTACGAAGACAGGCTGAGGGAGCTGGGTTTGTTCAGACTGGAGAAAAGAAGGCTGTAGGGTGACCTCATTGCAACCTTGCAGTATCTAAAGGGAGCCTACAAACAGGAGTGGAATCAACTCTTTGAAAGGGTAGATAACAGCAGACAAGGGGAAACGGTTTTAAGTTGAGGGAGGGAAGATTTGGGTTGGATGTCAGGGGGAAGTTCTTTACTGTGAGAGTGCTGGAAGAGGCTGCCCAGAGAGGTTGTGGATGCCCCGTCCTTGGACGTGTTCAAGGCCAGGTTGGATGGGGTCCTGGGCTGCCTGGTCTAGTATTAAATGTGGAGGTTGGTGGCCCTGCATGTGGCAGGGGGGTTGGAGATTAATGATCCTTGAGGTCCCTTCCAACCCTGGCCATTTTGTGTGTGATTGTGTCATTGTGTGAAATGGAAACAATCCATTTCCACTAGCTGAAAGCTCTAGAGTTAGCAAACACAGGCACCATGACTACATGTTTTTAATTATTCTTTCAGAGGAAGTTCTCATAACAAATTCTTTCTGGTGAATTATTCATTGAAAGCAAAATAAAATGGATATAGAAATATACCATCTCTGGCTCAGAAAAATCTTTGAACCATGATTAGCCAAAACTAGTGATACCCTGAAAAACTGCTCGCTATGTATTCCTGTTCTCTCACACTCATCCAGTCACCTGCTATTAGCCAATGTCAGAGGCAGGAAGGGAAGCAAGACAAGTCTTTAAAATCACTGAATTTAGCTATTCTTTTGACTTGCATTCACACACAAGTTTAAAAAAAAAAATAGAAATTTGCTTATCCTCTTCCCAATAACTTAAACTTTATCTACATAAATTAGCGGGGGAATTCCTTTCAGTCTTACATTTTTTGATGAAGCAAAGAAAAACTCCATCCTAAAGTAAGGCTGCAAGACTACAGACAACTTTTAATCCATTTTCTTGTTTTGTCACTTCCCTGTGTATTTGGTCAAAAACACCATTCAATAACACCACACAATCTTCAAAAGCAGGCAATAGAAAACAGGAAAAACATGAGAGCAGGTCAAGTATTTCTGCAATACAGCCATGGAATATTGTTGTATTCCCTATCACTCCAGGAACTTGCTGAGCTATAGCCCTTAATATTTTAAGAGTCACTGATGAACTTTTCTTCTATGAATTCATCCACTTAATTCTTACTTTTGTTCTTAAACTCAAAGCTTTTAGCAGCTGCAGAATCCCCCGAGACAGAAATCAACAGCTTGCTGCTGTTAGCATTGGCCCTGAAGTCCTGCATTCCACAGTTTCAAATGTGTTAGATGTTTGAGTCTTCAAGCTTAAATACGATGTATGTAGACATATTAAAAATTTATTAAAATAATTTTTAAGAAGGCCACACAACTACACTGCATTTTCCATGCATTAGATATAACTGAACTTAATAATTACTCACTGGTACAAGTGACATCCAAATAATTAACAGGAATTTGCTATTTTGTCATAACAAGATGCGTGAAAGCCATCTTAAATGCAAATCAAAACTATATCTAAGATAGTTAATAATAATCATAGAAAGGTAAGTAGCACATACGAACTCCCTTTTTGAAGTAGACTGTAAAGGGCTACTCAAGGTAACATTAGAAGTAACAATACAAAAAAATTACATTTTGTGACATACCCATGAAAACATCCGTTCTACTTTCTAAGGATTTACTGCATTGCAATCCCCATAACTGATCAATAACTATGCAACAGCCTTTTTGGCATAGCTAGTCACAACTTGACTCAGACTTATCTTTTTTTAAAACAGGCAAACTGATAACAAAATGATTTGCCATAGAAGTTGAGGGAGTACGTTTTCTCATGGCCATTTTGCCAATATGCATGATGTGTTAAGACCAGGAATAAACTTACCTGCATTTAAAATACTGCGTTCCTTCATAGGTACCATCATGTTTTCCTCTCTGAGGATCATCCCATTCCACTCCAAGCCAAATTCCTGAAAAATATTGTAGCTACGCTTTCATATTTATGGCATCATAGGCACAGAAGCATGGAACAAACCTCTGAAGTTTGCTTAGCCTTTCCACAGAAAACAGGAGATTATATGTAGTCCTAGACCAAGTTACTCAGCTAAGTCTCTACCTAGCCAGATCTTGAAGATCTGAGAGATTTCAACCTCTCTGGGTAGCCAGTTTCAGTGCTGCATTACTTCTATACTTAAAAAGATTTTCTTGTTGTCAGATCTGAGCCTTCCATAACACAATTTGTGGCTATTACCCATTATTATATAATTTAATACCTGCAAGAAGAATTTGCATCTTCATAACAGTCTGCCAAAGGGCTGTAAGGCTACTATTAGATATCACTTAATTTTGCTCTTTACCACACTACCCAAGCCCAGCTCCATTGACTTGTCTACACGAGACATGTGGTCTACAGCTTTGACCCTGTGGGCAGCTCTCCACTGGATATTCTCCAGTTTATCCTCATTCTTCTTGCACTGGAATGGCTCAAACCGGATACGTTCTCCTGAGTGCAAACTTACAAAGAACATCTGCCCTCAGAAGGGGGCAACAGATTCCCTTAATTTGTTGGCCATGTTCATCATTTTACGGTAACCCAGTACAATGCATACTTTGCCTGTGACAGAAGCTCACTGTTGGTTCACATCCGTCCATGTAAACTATCCAGTCCTTTACAACATGCTCTGTAAGCTATTAGTGTTTGCCAGTTTGTATTGATACACGGGTTTATTTCATACTACATGTTGAAATTCATACCTCTAGAATCTCTTAGGCCCAAATCTAAAGTTCATTAAGCTTGGCCTGTATTGCAGTTCTCCTTTTTGTTACATCAGACAGTTGAGAGTGAACTTTGTTCATTTCCAGACATTAATGAAGATGTTGAACGATAATGATCCCAGAGCTTAGTTCTGGGTTACTCACATATTACCAGGCAGCTGTCAAATCATTGATTATCATTTTTCTGCTTGACAGACCAGCAGACTTTCAATCCACCTAACAGTCTTTTCAGCTGGTTTGTATTTCTCCAGCTTCCAAACAATTATTATTATTTGTAAGAGATTGTCTAAAAAGTCTTATTAAAGTTAAGGAATATTACATCCCCCATTCTCTTCAGCCATATTCCTAGTCATATAATCATAGCAAGACCTTTCATTTTTGACAAAGGTCAAGGTATTCCAATTACCATCTTGTCCCTCATATACCTGGAAACAGATTCCAGGGGAATGTGCTCACGATCCTTCTGTGACATGAGGTGAGGATGATGAACCTATGGTTCCCTGGTCATCTTTCTTGCTCCTAGAACTGAATGCAATGCTAGTCACCTCCAAGCATTAAGCAATCTTCCCATCCCACCATCAGTTTTTCAAAGATGGCATAGAGTGCTCTCACAACTGAACTGGTCAGATCTTTCAGCAAACAGAGCTGAATCTTATTTGGTTCCAAGCACTGGCGTATGGAATCACAGGAGTGCCCAGACTGTTGGTCTCTCACTGCTGACTGCCTCCCTCTAACACTGTGCCTGTACACAGAGAGATCACCAAGCATTGTTCACAGAATCATTCGGATTAGAAAAGACCAGTAAGACCATCCAACCATCCGCCCGTGCCACTGTGCTCACCAACCATGTCGCTCAGTGCCGCACCCAGGTGTTTCCACAACACCTGCAGGGACCACCCCACCACCTCCCTGGGCACCCTGTGCCTCACCGCTCTTTCTGAGAAGGAATGTTTCCTAAAAGCCAACTTCAACCTTCCTTGGTGCAACGTAAGGCGCTTAGCTCTCATCCCAGCACTGCTACCAGGGAGAAGAGCCTGAATCCTATCTCGCTACAACCTTCTTTCAGGTCATGAGCGCTAACGAAAAAAAGAGAGGTGCTAAGAGCTTTTGGTGGTAAAGAAACCGTAACCACCTCTCACCAGAAGTACTACTTAGGCTCCTCAGCCTTGCAAACAAAATTTACCCGAGTTAGAAGTTACCGTATGTACACAAAGATACCTGCATGAGGCGGGACGCTGCCGACGTAGCGCACGGTGCCGTACTCCGTGCCACACAGCACTCTCCTGCCCAGCGCGTCAGCGGGCACCCAGCCGGCCATCCCGGTCCTCACACACCCGCGGTGACGGAACCGACGTCCTTAACACGCCGCTGTTACAGCGGGCTCTCCTCGCACAGCCCAGCAGCGCGGTGACTGCAGGTAAGCCTCGCCCGCCCCAGCGCTCCTCCTCACGGAGCGGGCCGGTGGCGAGTGAGAGCCCGCAGCCTCCGTGCGCCCCAGGCCCCGGGCGTGAGGCTGTTATAGCAAACGGCAGCCCTTCGGCCCGGGGCGACGGCTGCGGGAAGGGAGGGTCGCGCCGGCCGGGGCCGCGCACCCGCTCTATTGGTGGCTGCGCGTGGAGAACGTCCGCCGGCAGCCGCAGCCCACGGCACGCCGACCCCCTGCCCTCTTCCGCGCTCCGCAGCCGGGCGCCTACCTCCCGCCCCGCCTCGTCGGACGGCACGCTGCCATTGGCCGCGCGGCCGCGGCGCCGCCCTATCCCGGCCACGCGCCTGAGCCACGGTCGTGAGGCGGCGCCGCCGCCACAGAGCCTTCTGGGTAACGGCGTGCAGCGGCGCCGCCCGCTCCGTGCGGCCCGCCCTTCCCTGGGCGGTGCCCCCGAGGCGCGAGCTGCTGCCGGTCACCGCCCGTCCGAGCCGGCTCTGCGCAGCGCTGCCCTGCGGGGGTGTCCGGTACCCGCAGATTAAAGCCGAAGGCCTTGCCTGCGTTCTGTAAGTAGCAATTGCTGGTGAGTTAAAACAATATCGCCTCAACTTTGGGACCGCAAGGGCTGAAACTGCTGTGCCAGGAACAAAGAGGCTATTCCAGTGCTGTGCCTCTGCTGTTACGACCTGATGTTAAATGACTCCGTATGGGAGACAGCTCAGCTGGTTGTGTGACGCCGCTTACAGGCCTTTGGTAACGCTAGTATATGCCAGTCTAAGCGGTTTGGATAGTAAGTCCGGAGTATGCAGCACGCCAGTGAGCTGCTGGCGTTGCCGTTTCCTCCGGGGTCCTGTGCCTGTTCCTCTCCCGCAGAGGGCAGCCTTGGAACAACGCGTTGTCAGCGATGCTGAAACTACGTGGACGTAGATGGTGGTACAACGACGGAAGCGGTGGCACCAAGTCCTCGTGCTCTCCACTTGTGAGTCAGTCGCTGTTCCTCGATACTAACCTGAGAACCTGTTTTAGCGTGAGGAGTTGAAATTCATCCGGGTTATGAATGGGAAATAGAGTTACTTTGGTTTGTCCTCTTTGTTAGATGTACCAGTCTGAATTGCTAGAGGCACTTTCCGTTGGAAAGGAATCTGGGTGGATTTCCAGCCTGTTCTGTAATTGTAACCATTCACTTTTCACCTGACTCTCCTTGGGTTTTTTTTTTTTTTCTTTAACATTAAGAGTCTTGACCTTTAAATCAACCAAATAAAACGCAAAGTCAAACTCTTTAGTATGAATTACTACTTTTATTTCATGTACACACAGGGAAATATGTCTTACTCTATTGCTGTATTGTATTTGGAAGCTACCAGTCAACTCTGGGCAGCAGCTGCTGCATTAGAAAGTGTGTATGTTCTTACAAAAGGAATGTAACCACTGCTGTACACTCACCTTACTGCTAATTTCTCCCTCAGCATTCCACTATGCTTCCAACACCAGTCCTGATGACGTGGGATGTTCTTAATTATACATACTACAGATCCTATTGCAAGGTTTTTATTAGCCCTTATAAATTACTGGCAGGCTGTTTTCTTAAATTCCATATTTATTTGGGACAGCACTCAGTGTGCTGAGCATCAGAACAGAAGTACCAGAAGGCCAGAACAGAAGAGTTACGTTTCACTACCTTTGGCTGCACATTGGGAAAGGTGTTTGAAGTATTATTCACCATCTTTCTCACCCAGCAGTGTGCCTATAGATAATCCAGGCAGTCTGAGAATCTACAGGTGTATCACTGACTTTTTTTTTGTATTTAGCATTTCTAAGATGATACTGATTTTTTT